CAGTCTTAATAGTGCAATTGTTAAGGTTAGCACCAACAAGAAAGCCAATATTACCGCTATTTAAAGCGGGAATTTGGGTTGCTTTGACTTGTTTGACCCAGAATAATTGCCAGTCGAAACCCAATTAATGTCGAACTATGACGTCACTTGACAACAGAACTGATAGTGGCCCGTCGTTAAGGTTGAGCGGTCCAATATCATTTGCAGCGGACCGCAAATTTCTGATAATGGGCGGTCCGTTTCATGATAATTCCAGGTATTTTAGCTATAATATAAGGGTAATGCTATTTTTGAGGGCATTATCATTTGCAGAAGCCCGAGGTCTTCCATTAACTGCCCGACGAAGGAATTAATGTCGAACTATGACGTCACTTGACAACAGAACTGATAGTGGCCCGTCGTTAAGGTTGAGCGGTCCAATATCATTTGCAGCGGACCGCAAATTTCTGATAATGGGCGGTCCGTTTCATGATAATTCCAGGTATTTTAGCTATAATATAAGGGTAATGCTATTTTTGAGGGCATTATCATTTGCAGAAGCCCGAGGTCTTCCATTAACTGCCCGACGAAGGAGGGCAGTTGAAAAAGACCGAGGGCTTCTGCAAATGATAATGCCCTCAAAAATAGCATTACCGTTATTATTGCTAAAATACATGGAATTTGTGTTGAAAAGAAAAAGGAAACAATGAAGGAATCGGACTGTAAGTTTACCCAAATCAACTTCTGACGGGCTTGACTGCCCGAATGCAATTACGTCATCGAACAATTCAAGTGACGTCACAACAGAAAGTGACGATATTCGACCTTGGCCTTTGACAAGACCATAGCCTGCAACCTGTCAAACTATGACGGTGTTCGGTTTTGGTCCATCAACAGTCTTCATAGTGCAATTGTTAAGGTTAGCACCAACAAGAAAGCCAATATTACCGCTATTTAAAGCGGGAATTTGGGTTGCTTTGACTTGTTTGACCCAGAATAATTGCCAGTCGAAACCCAATTAATGTCGAACTATGACGTCACTTGACAACAGAACTGATAGTGGCCCGTCGTTAAGGTTGAGCGGTCCAATATCATTTGCAGCGGACCGCAAATTCTGATAATGGGCGGTCCGTTTCATGATAATTCCAGGTATTTTAGCTATAATACTGATCAAAGAAGTTAGAAAGTCGTGGTCCATGCTGTCCCAATATCGGAACGCCTCTTCTTTCATTTCAGCAATATTTGTCAGAATTGTCTTATTGACACTTTCCTTCATAAGTCCCCAAACATTTTCTATTGGATTTAGGTCAGGGCTATAGCTGTCATATTTTGGGTCCAAAACCAGGCCTGTGAATGCTTTGAACGATGTTTTGGGTCGTTGTCCTGCTGGAAAATCCAAACATTTCCATAGAACACGTGAGCAGATGGAAGTAAATGTCCCTCGAGAATATCTGTGTACCGCTCACTGTTCATATTCCTTCAAATACACAGAGGCGTTGCCCCTAACACAGATATGCCACCCCACACGTTAAATTTCGGACTGTACTTTGGGCGCTGATACAAAGGTTTTTCAGTTTGTTTGGTACAGAATTTCAGTGTATTAGGAAACAGCCACACAGAACTTTCATCTGAGAAAATCACATTGTCCCAGTTAAAATTTCTATGCTGTAAGCACCAGTTCAACCTTCGCTCCTTTTGTTCAGGTTTCATGATCGGTGATGGAATTCCTCAGTTCTAATTGTCTCCTTACAGACAGCTTACAGACAGTTTCTCTATCAATCATATTCAGCCTTAAGTTTTCTAAACTCCTTCGTTTGTTCGTTTGTTCACCGACAGCCATCACCGACAGTCTTTTCCTACCTGCGCCTCCCTGGTGCTCAATGCCATATCCATTTGCAATATTTTTCAAAACACGATAAACAGTGGACAAAGGGATGCCTGTTCTACTTGAAATCACTTTAGCTGATCTGATGTCCTTGTTATAATACTCTAAAATCAACTTCCTCTTCTCTAAATCATCCATTCTGAGGATCACTGAAAATGTCGTCTGCTAGCAAGTAAACAAAGGGGGATAACTCTTGACAAACTAATGAAAAAGGATTAACGGAGTTGTCTCTCTTGAATGAAACCAAGCACGTGATAGCTGGTCAAGGTTGTTTATACTAGAAATCCAATTAAGCATATTCCTAAAATTCTCAATAATTTCTGGTCATACTATACTTTGTCGGGTTGGCAAGAAAATGACTACCGATAAGTGGCATCCGCCGAATGTAGTCCAGGTGGACGGGTGTTTGGGTACACCGTCTGAAGCTCTTTCCTGGCGTTACCCGTCCTGATTGTGCGGGACAAGTCCTAAACAGCGGAGTAAAACAATATTCTCCAAGGCTGCGAATCACATACTCGAGCAACGGAAACGAAAGATCAAACCTTTTTTATGATCTATTTTGTTATTATTAGCCTATGGAAATCTGCATCTTCCTATTGCAGTTGTCCCTGATTCACAAAGCGACCTTATCGCTTCGATACTCGTAATCCAATGTTTAAGGATGGAAGTAACGATCTCCTTCACGTTAACATTGCTTTGTGAAGTCGGCCCATGAAGGCAGATGAAACCAGATTGACGTCAACAAGAAAGATTGTTTTGTTGTTATGGTTATGTTTGTTGCTTAAAAACATACACTGCAATATTAAAGCTGTATGGTGGCGATCTGTAAATAACCGAGTCTGGAATAGACGATCCAGTGATCGACATCATGAGCATGGGACGCTGAAAACCAAGTCTAACCCGATCTTCACTGATATGAAGGCAGATGAGTGAGTTTAATTTTACACTGCTTTTAACAATATTCCAGCAATGTCACGGCGGGAGACACGAGAAATGGACTTTACGCTTTGTACCCATGTGGGGAATCAAACCCCGATCTTCAAAGTGAAGAGCCAACGCTTAACCCATTAGGCTATCCAACCGCCCCTGAAGGCAGATGAAACCAGACTGACAGGAAGGAACCATAACAAAGAACAACTGCAACAACTTTCAACATATTTTATCTTTGAATGCAAGATACTGTAAGATACACAGGTTGGTATACATGAAATAGTGTAACAGAATGGCTTCTACCAAGTGAAGACATACCCAATGTATAAGAGTGGAGAGATTACTTTGGCATTGACTTTACCAGGAAGATGGTCACCTGCAAGTTCTTCCAGCACAGATCAACTGCACCTTGGGACCACATTTGGATTTGAATACACTTCAATATTGTACCTACAGGAATTCCCATGAGAATGTATACAGAGTATACATATATACTACTCACAATAGGTTAAGGAACCCAGGATTCTTTCACATTACTATAATTAAACTGTCATTAACGAATTAAAGATTAAGTGTAGCAATATGAAAGTATCAGGAGTTTCCAACTATTTCAGTAGTGTAAGTGCAAGTGCACCCACGTGTGTAATATTAAGGATCTGACATGCAGATCCTTTGGAAATTCTTCTAACAACTGTTAACATATTTAAGCATGAAAATAGTCATTCTTGTTTGGATTTGGACACTGGCCCTGCTGATCACAGATAACAAAGGATATAACTATGTACCTCTAGTTCCTATGTCATGCTAGTTCTGCATTAATTGTCATGAAAATAATTTTTTTTAAATGAATGGCATGAAAGTAAATGTCAAACTCAATATATGGCTACTGGCCATAAATTGGTAACTAATAACCTTGACTTTACAAATAAAACTTCAACACATTTTGTGTTCTCTAAACTGACCCATTCAACTGTAACAATATTAAGCTTATCCCTGTCCTAAATACAACATATTGATCATGACTTCCAACACTGAAACTAAACTGAAGCCTTCACTGGTCAATCAACTAAAAAAGCTATGTCTTATGGAAAAAACATGATTTTAAAGAATTGAATACAAAGTTTAACATTTAACCAACAAATATACTAAAATTATGCCATATGTGGACTTTCACCTGTTTCCATGGTTACACTGACTGTAATCAGGGGTGTGACAATGCAGGGTGAGGTTCTGCTCAATTCCCATGGTAATACAAGAGATGCAGGGCATGCATTACAGACAATGAAGCATCATATTCCAGCATGGTGGGCAAGGACCAGATTTTGGCTTTTGGTTTACAGAATGGGCCTTCCAATATCCATAAGCCAAAATCAGAAAATAAAAATGGTTTAAATTTAACAAGATTAAACATGATTAAAGAAAACTGTTTAGAAAAATGAACCAAAAGCTGCGAACCATAAGTTATATGAATGTGGCACTATGTATATCAATAAAGTTAATATTTGGGTGAGCTGACTTACTTCACAAACTGGACACCATCCAGTTTGCTGGGGGGTTTCTATCTCCTTGCACACTGAATACAGTTAATCCAAGCGGAATCTCAGGGGACATATACAACTCAAAAGTAGTTAAGGATCAGACAAATCTGTCAGATTACTAAACTAAATCTGTGAGAGACTCTGCATACCAGATGGTCCTTAGGCCAAATGAAAAATATGTTGTGGTTCCGATTACACCTCTTTAAAATTTAGGGTAGGTAGGTAAGAAAATTTTATTTTTTACACTTTTCTTTAGAAGTAAAGTGCGAACTAATATAACTTTTATCAATGTGTAATTGTAGTGTTGGGAATTCTAATACTTGATGATTGGTTCATTGGATCAATCATCGAAAATAATTGGTTAGCATAATTTATCAAATTTTCCTGGTTATGTTTCTTAATGCACAAATAATAAAAAAACAACTCGTCATTCTTTCTGTTTTTTTTGCAAATTGCACACAATGAAATTGCAAACTTCACATCTTTACAGGATGACTTATGTTAGGAACATAAATTTCCTGGACTCTTTAAAACCAATTCAATCCTGACTTGGAAGGAGCTAGTAGTGCTATGAAATGTAACAGACAAAACCAACTGTGTGAAAAATATTGTTAATGCAAACAAGTGTTCCAAAATGATTATGAGAAAACATGATCGATTGCTTGGTCGTTTAGTCATTGCAAACAATCTTCGATTATTTAATTAATCGGACCACCACTATATAATTGTTTATTCAATCAAGCTTGCAGCCATCAAGTCAACATTCTCTATCAGAATGGCCATTGTCCAATGGCATCTGAAAGCTTATTTTATTCATACCTCTTAAAAAATATAGGGTCGGCACCAGAATTCAAGGGTCGGTCGGGTAATTGGAACCACAACAAAAAAACTTTTAGGCCTTAACTTCTTCTGAGTGGTAAATCTTAGAAATAACAAATAATCAATGATCAGAGGTTAAGATGACCTCAAAGGAATAGCCTGGAAAATAAGGTTTCAACACAATTAAGGTTTCACTTAGCTGAGGTCGACATGTTTCATAAAGAAGAAACAATTGTCAACAGTCACCTCTTTGAGTAGCCATGATACTATAACACACCTTCCTGGAAGCACCTGTTACAATACTGTGCTTCCACCTTGTAACACACTGTTGTCACACCCCTTGGTACAGTGTACATTCATCAGAATCCATCTTCTCCAACACCTTACTTCCTTTGTGCCTCAAGCTCAGTTTAGGGGTAATGTTTAAAAATTGAATGAACGTAAAAGAAAAAATGCATTTTCCCATTCCAAAGTAAAGATTATCTAATTACTTCATACAGCTTTATGGTGAGTTTAGAAGCAAACCTATTGCTACTTGCTCTTAAAACCTTTCCCACTACCAACTGATATGACTGAGATGAACTGAAGCTGACAAAATAATTGAAAGATTCTCGAGCATCTGGAGAGAGAAGGATTTTACAGCCCTTTGAACACTATTCCAGTTCCAAAACACCCTGTCAGCTTAATGTGGGAGGAACAGAGGGAGTGAGTGAGTATGGTTTTACGCCGCTTTCAGCAATATTCCAGCAATATCATGGCAGGGGACACCAGAAATGGGCTTCACACATAGTACCCATGTGGGGAATCGAACCCAGGTCTTCGGCCTGATGAGCTAATGCTTTAACCACTTGAGGCTACCCCACTGCCCGGTGGGAGGAACAGTGGTCTCTAATGTCTACCACTTGGGTGAAACTGATGGTATGGTGCTGACAAACTGAAGAATACAATCTGTGCAAAAGGGATGGTCCAAGGGACACTACTCCACACAGCAAATTGCTCCTTGGATGACTTGGCGAGTGCTCCCACCAAGAAGACAGGGGTTACGTGTGACAGTGACATATCTAAAGCTCCTAGCACAGAGAATACCTGACTTTTAAAGCGAAGATTTTATTTTCAAACACATACTAGAAAGTTGCACAGATCAAGTCTTAAACTTAATTCATATTTTTTTAAAAGCTAAGTTTTGATAAACTAAAATCTCTAAAAAAATATTCTTCGCAATAGCAGCATTACAGCCCATATATAGACTTCAAATTTAACAGAAAAAACAGAAAGTCCTGCCACACTCACAAGGTAAATGCTCGAAGATCAGTCAAAGACTTTGAAGCAGCTCTTATGGGAGGCTAATAGACAGTCAATAAGGTCATAATTGTGCATTTATGAACCCCGACCATTAAATGATGAGTTAGGAATTGAGATCTATAAGAAAACAGCAGTATCTGAGAAATTCTCCCACCATGGCTGATGATCCTAGTGAGGGCTGTAACCATACACTGTGTAACCATACCTTAATAGATTGACAACTTGAATCGAAGAGCAATTCTTAACGGAACTAAATTCAGTAATTGTTAATGGGTTCCTGGAAGTCTGTTACCATTCTAGAACCCAATACCTCATCTGTTGGTTTCATTTATGTTAAGTGAGTGAGTGTGGTTGTATTCCGCTTTTAGCAATATTCCAGCAATATCATGGCAGGGGACACCAGAAATGGGCTTCACACATTGTACCCATGTGAGGAATAAAACCCGGGTCTTCGGTGTGACGAGCCAGTGCTTTAACCACAAGGCTACCCACCGCCCCATTTATGTTCAGATCGGGACCCCCAGATTTAACAATTTCCCTTGAAGATTTGACACTGAAATGATTGGATGGTCAGCTAATATAATATCAAAATGTTAAAAGCAAAGTCCCCATCAGTTGTATACAGGGTTAGATATCTTGAGCTACATCCAACTAGTGCACAGTTTACTCGAGTTTAAGTTCAGAAACTGCAGTGACCATAATGACTGATCCTTCCAGACTTCAACATCAGCAGACTTGTTCAACAATGTTCATAAAATCACAATCAAATTTAAAACATAGTCCTCAATTTCTCATATTTACAAGCATTTTATCATATCAAAGGAAAAGGGAGAGTATGTTTTTTCACAGCTTTCAGCAATATTCCAGCAATATTGCAGTGAGAGACACCAGAAATGGGCTTCACACATTGTACCCATGTGAGGAATCGATCCCGGGTCTTCGCTGTGACGAGCCAACGCTTTAACCACAAGGCTACCCACCGCCCCATTTATGCTAAGATCGGGACCCCCAGATTTAACAATTTCCCTTGAAGTTTTGACACTGGAATGATTGGATGGTCAGCTAATATAATATCAAAATGTTAAAAGCAAAGTCCCCATCAGTTGTATACAGGGTTAGATATCTTGAGCTACATCCAACTAGTGCACAGTTTACTCAAGTTTAAGTTCAGAAACTGCAGTGACCATAATGACTGATCCTTCCAGACTTTCAACATCAGCAGACTTGTTCAACAATGTTCATAAAATCACAATCAAATTTAAAACATAGTCCTCAATTTCTCATATTTACAAGCAACTATCATATCAAGAGAAAAGGGAGAGTATGGTTTTACACAGCTTTCAGCAATATCGCGGTGAGGGACACCAAAAATGTGCTTCACACATTGTACCCATGTGGGGAATCGATCCCGGGTCTTCGCTCTGACGAGCCAACGCTTTAACCACTAGGCTACCCCACCGCCCTTATCAATAGATGATATCATGCTGGTCACTGTATGTATGTAGTGTGTCAGTGTATCATTACAACCCCCGTCTACTACAAGTGCTGATGTCTTTCACCTATAAACATATGTTCTGGCTGATGAAAAAAAAGATGTTAGTGAACCAGAAGTATTTGACTTCCATATCCTGGATGTTAGAATATACAGTGGAAGCACTCCAAACCGGCATCCATCCAAACCGGCATGTTCTCAATATCGGCACTCGAATTTGGTCTGAGGTGGAGTATGGCTAAGGTTTATAAGTTGTGCTTGATATGCTGAAAAACATCAGATACTTTGCTCAGGTTCAAAAGGGAAAAGTTCTCTAAACCGGCACACCCGCTATACCGGCATTTTTGCCCCGTCCCAACGCGGGCCAGTTTAGAAGGCTTCCACTGTACATATTTAAGGGAAGTATTGAAAAACATGAAATTCAATGACACTTCAACAAAGGCCTCAATGATTAAGGCAGAAACAAGAAAGAAGCACAGAGGCGTAAACCATTGCCTCTGAGGAGTTATCTACCTTTGATGAGGCCTGATATAATTTTTAAGTACAAAAATATTTCTTTATAGCACGGTATGATCTTACCTTGAAAACAAGTCATTGTTATCCTGGTCACGTGAACATATTAACAGAATGAACAGAAGTGAATCTAAACACCTTGGCCCCGTTTGACACAGCAATCGTAGAGCCAAGGACACTGTACCCCCCAGGTTTAACACAGACGACTGTTGTTGCACTGAATCGCTTCGTGGAAAGGGAGCCTGACTGACTTCAACTCTGCTGTTGAATCCTGGGTAATCATAACTGGCAGTCTTAATCATTGGTAAAGAGGAATACTCAGAAATAAAGAGTAACAATAATATTTTGGCTTAATTGCAGATTCAACATTAACAAGTTCACTTGGCAATAATTTCATCACTTTACCTATTTCACCTTTCATGCCTAAAGCCTCAAGCTAAGACATGTTTAATTTCTTGTTCTGTGGATTTGAAAATATAAATGATTGATTTGAGGTTTAATATTCATGTGAAAAAAAAACTGTGGAAAAGGATAATGAAATTAAACATTTATTTTTAATCATTTAAATCAAACACAATTTTTTTAATTTCTTTTTAAATATTCTACATTTAAGAAAGTTTAGTGTTGGTTCATGTGTTAAACAAGAAATAATAGGTTTGGCTTGATCAGTGGTAAACTATATTTACTTGTACTGATTCAGTTAGATTTAGTTGCTGCTTGTACCAGGAGGTACAAAACCAAGATGATAAATTAGACTATTCTGAAAAACAAAATCTCCTCCACAACCAATCAAACCAGGGGAAACAATTCCCCAAAGCATATTGTGTGGGCTAAGATAATGTTTAATTTCAATGCAAGTAGACAGTGTCATTGCAGAAAAAGAAATGTATGTTAACTGTACAGACAAATACAATAACACACTGACCAATGATAAACAAATAATATATCCTTCATGTTGTTTCATAACAAAGGTTAATGGGTAGACACCTGAAAAATCATCCGGAAATACTGAAAACAGTCAGTTTGAGGAAGTGAGTTTAGGTATTTAGTAACAATCTTTCTTCCTCATTTCAAATATTTGTACACATCCACAATCCCAACAGTTGTCATGACAGCGAGTTGACTAGACGGGTTAAAAACCATAAGTGAGACTGATATCCTGAAAATAATTTAAATATTTCAAGCCACGTTTTCAAATAATTTATATATTTTCAAGTCACGTTTTCAAAAGATGTACATAATGACAGAGAGTTTGGATTTCTAATTTGTGCGTTATGTAAAATACCTCGACGTATAGATCAGATACCAATATGGTGATTCCCTATTATTTGTATCAAGTCAGTTCTTACTACAACCAACTACACACCACCTGTGCAACTTATAAATAGAAAGTACTTATTTGTCTGAGTGAGACGGGCGAGCAGATCAAACCTGACATCTGTTTCCATATCAGATATTGTGATAAATTTTCCAGTGTGAAATTAACACATATCATCGGTTCGGGACAACTGTTCCCTTCCTAGCTATCACTATCGACACAGATGCTTCTGCTTGAGCTATATGGTTTAGTTTATCATAAATTACCAAAGTATGGACTTAATTCCACAAAGTCTTAACCAAAACTGGAGTTCAAGGTAACAATACCCGTTACCATGCTTACCAACAGATGGGCAACAGGGCACATGAGCCAGGGGAGAGTTCTACATTAATATTAAGGTTGTGTGTGTGTGCTACAAACCTGAAGAAAGCCTAATAAATTGTTTTGTTTATCTTGGTTTCCAAATCAAGCTCCCTTGTCTGGCAGGTTTGTTTTATTAACATATTTACTGCTTGACCATGTTCACCAATCCACGGTACTCCATTATTACACAGTGTGCGAAATTTACGCTGGTCCTGTGGTCCCTGAGAAGTAAAAATTTATCAGGACCACTAAAGTTTGAAGTTTGCTAATTATTGTCCACTCACTGGTTCCAGTAGGAAATTTTGAAAGGTTTCTTTCCCTGATTACACATTAAAGCCTCAGCCACTTCATGATGTTTGTTGGCCATGTCATCTAGAACAAGTATCTATAAGATCAATACATACGTAATAACAATATCAACATGAACTGGGAAGGATATTAATTCTAATATATGGAAATTTTACTGATATATGCTGCAGGCTTGGGGAAAAATACTAGATCTGAGGGCTTGTTGATTAGGGAGAGTCCTTATACCCTACATACTATTCAGAAAAAGTAGGGATCACTCAGATCTTTCATATTACTATAGTAAATCTGTCATGCCATGACACCAACAGATTAATCTACAGTGATAAAAAACAACAACAGTTGGTTGATCCTTAACTACTCTTGAGTAGTATATATGATAAACCAGCTAGTCACGTTGTGAAGCATATCATCAAAAACTACAGTTTGGTGTGCTTAGTCAATCAAGTCAGACATATAAGTATTTTCTTAAGTTGATTCGCGATTTGTTCCACAAGCATATATACCAAACCATGCTTTGCATGTATTTTCCTATAATATTTATGTACCGAAATACTTCATATGGAACTGCAAAATGTCTCTACCCTAACATGCAGCAATGTGCCCAAGACAATGGTGTTGCCATCACCATGGCAACAGCTTCCACTTCCATCTCCCAACACACATGGGTTCCTCAGCAGTTCAGCTTCCTCATTCGTATTAGCCGTGGGTTGATACCAAGCTTGATGGACCTCATCGCCATTGCTCTGTTGAAATGGCGCTGTGTTTTAACAACTTCGGGACAATCGTCAAAATTTGCTTCGATGGATGTTATGACCCCAAAGAGCACTCCCAGCACGAGGAATAGTATAATGAACAGAGTATACTGAGTGACAGAAGGACTGGGTGCTCCTTCCATCTCCCGCAGGTGGGCCTGTGCAGGCTGGAATCCAGGATTTAGTTCTAAAGCCTGACCAAGTGAAGTGTGGCTTCCTGGTAATGTCCGTATGCTTTTAAAATCTCACCTAGTGTGAAATGTTGTAACCAAGAGTTCTGTTCGGGGCTTTGCATGACGAGGGATCTCCTTGTCAGGAAAATGGCATCATCGAGGTATTGAAGATTAAAAAGAACTCGTGCGAGGTTCAACAAAACGTCGGCGTTGTTCGGTGATAATGATAAAGCTTTACGAAAACATTCAATGGAGAGTTGTGTGTTGCCCTTAATTCTCCAAAAATTTCCAATCTGGTTGAAAACTTGTACAGAATTTGGCTTCTGAAAAAGAGAAAGAAAATTTCAGCAATATTTCATTGTATCAAGAATAGCGGATAATGATCAACATTTGTGAGCTTTATGCACGAATCGTGCATCATAGTGTGAGTGAGTATGGTTTTACGCCGCTTTAGCAATATTCCAGCAAAATCGCTGTTCACACATTCTACCCATGTAGGGAATCAAACTTAGGTCTTCGCAAGAAGAGCGAAGGCTTTAACGACTAGGCTTCCCCACCATCCCTTGCATCACAAAGACAGGGATTTACAGGACATGAATTCCTGCGTCCTATACACATAAAAAATGACAATGGATGCAACAAAATTTATTAGCGCATCCACACGGGCGCAGAAAAAGTCCAAATACTTTTGTAAAAATTCCAATCAAGTAACAATAAGTAATCACTGAGTTTGCTACTAGCTGAGTTATGGTATCATCTGCAATTTCATTACATGATTACTGTAACAATTAATGTGATGATCATGTATTAGTAATACCGGTAATATTTAAGTGTCTGGGACCCCTATTTTGTTGTCCAGGACCCCTGAAAATTATAAGCATGGGTCCCAGCGACCATCAAATACAAGACTCAAGGTAAATTCCTGCACAGACATTGTTAATACTTGAATGATGACTTGTGTTTAAGACAAGTTGTTAGGTTAGTGACATGTTTACAATTGTTCATGTGATAATCGAGAAAACAACAGATGTTATCAAGCACAAAAAAGCAATAAAACTAGGCTAAATCTTAGCCATGCATAGGAGTGACTGACAGTATGAGAAACAACCCACATAGGTTTAATCAATCAAGCCATTAAATGTTAATATCCAATCCTCATTTCAGGCACTTACAACAAACATTTAGTTCTGGGGACTAGCTGCCAATGAACTCGTTCCACAGCATTCGATTACATGTGTTTGTTGGTGTTTAATGGCAAATGTTCCCACAACATGACAGTGGTCTGTAAATAATCAAATATGGACTCAACAATCCAGTGATTGACATCTTGAGCATCGTGAACATCAATCTATACCATTTGGGTGCAAGGACACACTATGAACCGGGTCAACAAGCCCGATCACCATATCGACATGGCTGATCTACACTGAGATCGGCACAGAATTAGACAACAATAAAGGTGAGGTGAAATTGGGTTTAACGTGCTTGAGAAAATTTCGCTCATATGACGACGTGCATGCGTGTGTATGTGTGGCTACTTGTACTAGCCCAGACTTAAGCTGGTTTTATAGTGCTAGCCCACTGAGATACCATGCCGCAGTGAAGCATGAATACCCCACTCAGACACATTATACTGACTCTGAGCCGACCAATCCTTGTTGTACCCATTAATGCCGAGACAGACAATAATTGTGAAGGTTGTTACGCAAGACAAGATAACAGTTAGTGAGTGTTGTTTTATGCCACTTTTAGCAGTCTGTTCAGCTGTATTCCTGCCATATCATCCTGACCATCACCATAAACAGGCCACACATGACATGTTTAATTACCCCATGACGTGACATATCCACATATCCAGACATGCTGAGTCATAGCCCGAGCATGTTGACTCAAGCTTGGGGAAACTGCTTTATCACTTTTCAGATTCTTCTACGCAGTTCTTTATTTTTGTAACATATGTTATATTTGGGATTACACTTTCTTAGTAAAGTACAGATTCTAGTACTTTTGGGGGTTGAGTCCCATCTGGGATTCGAACCCACACCTTCAGAGTCAGGCACCTAATCGCCAGCACACAAAGTCAGATGCCTAGACCGCTCAGCCACCGTGTCTGCCACAAAAATGGAAGTCGGACAACTGGTAGTCTAGACTGCGGACTTTATGTACCCCTCTAATAAGTGTTAATTGGCACGGCTCCCACTGCCAAAAGCTATGAAATACACAATGCCATTTTAGAAAGTGGTCAAATGTAACATATGTTATATTTGGGATTACACTTTCTTAGTAAAGTACAGATTCTAGTTCTTTATTTTGTTTATCTTGGAATCTACACATCTGACACACAAATGTCAAACATAAATACAAATTTCAAAATTGCCAAATAAAGCTAAAATTAACACAGAAGATAATAATAAAAGTTTGTTAGCACAATGATGAAAGCTTAATTTTCAACTTGTCTCTGTTGTACCAAATGAGAAAAAGCCAACACAGCAAACATTTAACTTTCTATTCATCATGCTGAGCTGTATATTCATGACATGAATTTTTTGTAACAAGGTTGCTCCAGAAGCCCTTTAGTGCATGATATAACTTAAGAAAGATTCACTTCAAAATACTTCCACCAACTCTGCCATTCATAATCAATGATTATAGACATATTGATTTTCATTTCTTCAGACATTAATTTCTGAAACTCACATAAACTATGATGGAAAACACTTAGCCTTTTACAACATAGTTCTCATCAGCTTCATCAGTTTCCTTGGGGAAACAATTAGCCCCACACCACCCACAAAACTTCTCAGCAACACTTATCTTCTCACCCTTCAGTCAATGACTCAAATGAGTCACTTGAGCAGGACACAATGTTTCTTACCTCTTTTTTTGATTTCCATAAACGTTCCTCCAGCTCATTAACATCCACCTCTGATGTTCGACTTCCTTTCTTTTTGAATATCATGGCCACTTCAGGCTCAGGTATATGGTTATGTTCCTTCCTGTTGGCTATTCCCCGCAGGTGGTCATATTGTGTTGTGTTTACTGCCTTCCCACATGTTAATTTTTTTCTTTTCGCAGGAATTTTTTTCTCTATACTGAAAAATAAAATAATATGTCTGTTTAGGGTTGGATTTTTTTTATAGTATTGATGTGTCAGTGTTAGAATCATGACGGCCTATGTACTGTGCACATTAGAAATAATAATAATTCAATACCTTATTTTAGAGCAGATCAGTCACCTCCAATACACAACTTTCATAAAAGCTGTCAATGGCAACTGTCAAGACTGATTGATTTCTCATTTTCTGATGTGTTGTCGTTAACACATTTTCACTATGTGTGCCACTTATCAATGCTAATCCTAGCCCCATCCCTCACCCTGTTTTGGGTCTTGGGTATAAGGGTCATACAGTCTAAGGGTTTATCAATATGCATATGTGAAACAAAGCATACAACCAGCCACCATAGTTAAAAATGGCAGGCAGACATGTCAGTTTGACTGCCGTTTCAGGTTATTCTATGACGTTATATATGTGTGAGTTATTTCCTCAATTTCCAATGTAAACATGCAATATGGTTCCTGGAACGGTTCGAATAATAATATGATGGGTAAAATGTTCAAACAATTACAATTAGTGGGTCTAATAAATGGAGAAACTATTGTAAGGTTGTATCATATCATTGCTTTTTAGCATTAAAATAACTGGCTTGTCATTCTCGTATAAGTGCAAATTCATTCACATATTTGTTTTGATCCTTGAACGAAAACAGAACAATCGTGGAGAAAACGTCCATACCCCGTTGTATCTGACGATCCAGTATCACATGAAGGGGAACTACACGACAGTTTCTTATCTACTTTTGTTTCAACTCTCCATTCTCCATTTTCATAAATCTTGTTGGTCAAAATATCCATTAGAGCGTCTTCGTCTTGATTTGTACCCCGGACTGTCATTTCGTCCGATGCCTGGACAACTTTCCCTTCTATGGGGTTCAGTTTCCAGTGGTTGGAGCCTGTAGAGCTACGCGAATTGCTGTTCACAATATGCATAGATATAATGTAAAGTGCCATGTAAGAAACACATGGCAAATCACAAGTCATTTTGGCAGTTTTCCGCGACTTTCGTCGCCTTATTTTGACAGATGTGTATCGATTTCCGTAACAATGGCGGCAATTATCAGGGCTGCCATCTGGTGGTTATGAAGGGGAAGTAATTCTAAGTGATACATGTTCCCTTCAAAGTGGAGGTGCGTTCATAAAATGCATAATATTGAAAGGTTTCGTTGTTAATTAAATGCGCTCTTTTGAATCAGTTTCATTCGGCCAGCCCATGTCACTTTGCTGGATTGTAGTAGCCGACGCTATTCCATGTACACAACTCATGCAATTACAATGTGACTGACTCATATACAAGCTGGAATTGTTTACATTTTTTGTTCTTTCAAGACTCACTCTGCAATATTCCAAAAGCACGCATATGCCAAAGGTAAATTATTATTCCATCCGTCATTATCTTTACACTGACAGCAAATCTTTCAAGTTCCATGTATGCAGTGTGCGAAATAGCCACTGACCCGCTAGCCCGTGGCTAGTAAAAATCCAGTCTGGCCAGTAAATCTCCACAGGTCATTTTGTAAACATATCACTCTCTCCGACTTGTTAAGTTATAATATTTTTAAATCATGCAAGATTATGGCCTGATAAAAATGTTCATCATATTAGCAGCTTAATGATGAAACCCGTGTCATGCCGACAATATCTTATTCTCATCTATTTTTGTAATCTTTTGCTTAGTTTCTACATTCAAATTTCGGGCTAGTGAATTATTTTGTGGGCTAGTAACTTTCAGGCATAGCTGGCTCGACTGGCTAGCAAAATTGGGAAACTATTTCACACACTGCATGTATGATATATTTATCAATAGGGGATTGTGTGGCGCGTGATTAATAGGCTACTGCGCACCTACCCCACAGCAAAAGGTAGGCTGACCAGAATTTGACATTTTTCAAAACTTTTACAAAAATGTTAATTTTCAGTTATTTCTAACCAAATTTATGTATGGTTCTATACGTGGTGTGTTGGTCGTTTGTGCTGTCGGGGCGGTGGGGTAGCCTCGTGGTTAAAGCGTTTGCTCGTTACGCTGAAGACCCGAAGACTCACTCACTCACTCACTCACTCATTCATTCACCTTGGTGATGTCAGTGATCGCTAAACACACCCCGCCTCAGTGACAATGTCTGGCGTTAGTGTCAAGGAGGAGGTGTTTCTGGACGGAAACCGTTCCTTTGTACTATAGATGTCTACGGAAATTAATTTTACGTAAGGAAAATGTTTCTCGAAATACTTCCGATGGAACGAATTCCTGATCATGACGTGATCGGATGACGTCAACTACACACCACTATACACGAAGGTGTGTTGTTAATTTTTCCTAAAATGCATGCTGTTACTTATTTCCTCAAGGGCACGTTGTTTCATTCTTCTTAAAAGCCAATGCTGTTTCATTCTTCTTAAAAGGCATGCTGTTACATTCTTCTTAAAAGGCATGCTGTTACATTCTTCTTAAAAGGCATGCTGTTACATTCTTCTTAAAAGGTATGTTGTTACATTCTTTCTAAAAGGCATGCTGTTACATTCTTCTTAAAAGGCATGCTGTTACATTCTTCTTAAAAGGCATGCTGTTACATTCTTCTTAAAAGGTATGCTGTTACATTCTTCTTAAAAGGTATGCTGTTACATTCTTCTTAAAAGGTATGTTGTTACATCTTTTTCTAAAAGGCATGCTGTTACATTCTTCTTAAAAGGCATGCTGTTACATTCTTCTTAAAAAGGCATGCTGTTACATTCTTCTTAAAAGGCATGCTGTTACATTCTTCTTAAAAGGCATGCTGTTACATTCTTCTTAAAAGGTATGTTGTTACATTCTTTTCTAAAAGGCATGCTGTTACATTCTTCTTAAAAGGCATGCTGTTACATTCTTCTTAAAAGGCATGCTGTTACATTCTTCTTAAAAGGTATGTTGTTACATTCTTCCTAAAAAGGCATGCTGTTACATTCTTCTTAAAAGGCATGCTGTTACATTCTTCTTAAAAGGCATGCTGTTACATTCTTCTTAAAAGGTATGCTGTTACATTCTTCTTAAAAGGTATGCTGTTAAATTCTTCTTAAAAGGTATGTTGTTACATTCTTTCTAAAAGGCATGCTGTTACATTCTTCTTAAAAGGCATGCTGTTACATTCTTCTTAAAAGGCATGCTGTTACATTCTTCTTAAAAGGCATGCTGTTACATTCTTCTTAAAAGGCATGCTGTTACATTCTTCTTAAAAGGTATGTTGTTACATTCTTTCTAAAAGGCATGCTGTTACATTCTTCTTAAAAGGCATGCTGTTACATTCTTCTTAAAAGGCATGCTGTTACATTCTTCTTAAAAGGTATGTTGTTACATTCTTTCTAAAAGGCATGCTGTTGCATTCTTCTTAAAAGGCATGCTGTTACATTCTTCTTAAAAGGCATGCTGTTACATTCTTCTTAAAAGGTATGCTGTTACATTCTTCTTAAAAGGTATGCTGTTACATTCTTCTTAAAAGGTATGTTGTTACATTCTTTCTAAAAGGCATGCTGTTACATTCTTCTTAAAAGGCATGCTGTTACATTCTTCTTAAAAGGCATGCTGTTACATTCTTCTTAAAAGGCATGCTGTTACATTCTTCTTAAAAGGCATGCTGTTACATTCTTCTTAAAAGGCATGCTGTTACATTCTTTCTAAAGATACCTGTAGTTTGACTGGATTCCTGGCCCTCACACAACAACCCAATTGATCCCACAAATGCCCACTAGTGCTGATCTCTGAACTTCTTACTCCATAGGTAGGGGCCATCAGAGCACATGGTGCTTACACCTGCTACTGGGCAACATTTTATGGACGCTACAAAGGCGAACGCTGTACTGTCTGTGCACACGTAAAATATCCGAACCCACCTGACCAAAGGATGCCTTCTGTGGAAAGACTCTTGTGAATGAGTGAGTTTAGTTTTACGCCGCACTCAGCAACATGCCAGCTATAATGCGTAGGTCTGTAAATAATCTGGACAAGACAGTCCAGTGATCAACAACATGAGCATCAATCTACGTAACTGGGATACGATGACATGTGTCAACCAAATCAGCGAGCCTGATCACCCGATCCTGTTAGTCGCCTCTTACGACAAGCTTGGGTTACTGAAGACCAATTCTAACCCGGATCTTAACGGATCGACTCTAATGTGCACACATAAATATGATTCCCCGAGTTTGAAATTCAATATTATTTTATTGAAACTCCAAGAGTCGAGACACTTTATAACACAAAGAACATAGTGGTTGTATTTAATCTGAGGCGGGGCGCTTGCAAACCCTGTGGTTAAAAAGGTCACTCGTCACACCAAGACCCGGTTCTATTCTCCATATGGGTACGATGTGCGAATCTCCAAATCAAACTTTTTAACACATTGTGTGGAATACATGTCAAATTAAAAACAACTCTGGAGCATTGTGTACGTAATTAAAACAGCATCACAGGTCTACGGAAAAAGAGGTTTCAAAGCCTTTACTATACCACAACTGATTAAAATGTCAAGTTTGTTTACAGTACTTTAATCAGATCCGATGTCAGCGTGTATGTCCACTAGTCAAGATACTGAAATATCTTTACATACGCAAGTCAAATGTATCTGCTTCAATTCAGTCACTATTGTGGACAAGCCAACTCCTACCCAAGTCAGTGTACACAATAGCACTCCCATTATCACGCCCAAAACCACACCCAGATTCCAGCTTCCCGCACACCTTCCACACCCCCCACATTTTCCAAACACCCACATCTACTCCACTTTACTCTCACTCTAATGGGTTATCTTGTGAGTGAAAATATACCAAACATGCGACGTGGTAAATACGTTTTAGGTTCTAAATGGCATTTTGCGGTGTTTTATTCAGTGGTGAACTACTTCCGTTTTTCTAGCGCATGTATTCAGAGCAGTGATGCGATCAGATGTGGTCATCGTTAATTAACCAGTGGGTGAATGCTGCTTAACGCCTGCTCATTAACCACTTCAAATTCAGTGAAATTAACCAATCAGTTTGGATGATCCTTCTGTATCATGTTAGAATTCACATTCAAGGAAATTGACTGCAAAAAGGGAGAAATAGTAATAGTATCGCCTTATATATGCCTTTGATGAATGTTACCTATATATGGATAAGGTGATCTAAATACCAATTACGAATACGTGACTGGGTAGATGTCGCCGTGATCATATGTGACGACGCGTGGTGGGGTTGCCCAGTGGTTAAAGAGTCAGCTCGTCACGCTGAAGACCAGGGTTTGATTCCCCACATGGGTACAATGTGTGAAGCCAATTTCTGGTGTCCCCCGCGTGATATTGCTGGAATATTGCTAAATCGGCGTAAAACCATAACCACCCTCTCAGTCATATGCGACGATAAACTCCTCTCAGTCATATGCGACGATAGACTCCTCTCAGTCATATGCGACGACATTTGAAGAGGGCCATTAGCTCATGTGCGGTTCCCACTCACTATGCCAGGAATTGTCGGAACGCACATTATCAATGCTTATATCCGAACCCAGCTTCCGATGCGGCTGGTAAACCGTTGCTTGTATCACTTTAATCGGGTTTATCACCCGTTGGGAAGAATGTTCGTCCATACTGTAATGCATGCCCTTGTATCCTAATTGTATGGATCGTGGCTCATGATGTCAGTCACTGGATTGTCTGGTCTCAATTATTTACGGCCGCTGTCATATGTTGTAATGTGGATGAAAGCGGCGTTCTGCAACATTACGTCTTTTACAATTTTGTTTGAGAACATTATCACTTTAATTCAAATTTTGACTGGTACTCTTTCTTGTGCCCTTTAAAGTTGATGTACTTTCAGTCTGAGACCTTATCCGGAAGAAAGTGATCAGGGCGATTCAACGTGGCTTTTTTCCGCCATTTTCAATGAACGTCCAGCATTCGAAATAATCGGGACACAGCAACGCTATCCAAGGTGGGCGTGGCATCGAGACGGAACAATACTAACCTCAAGAAAGTGCTGTTTACTTTCGAGTCACGTGGCATTATCTGAGGGACGTTTTGTTGTTGTCCTGATAAAGTTGACCGAATTGTGTGT